TCGGGCTGGGAGCTCCTGGGCAAGAGTGCGAGTCTCAGCTCTCCCAGTGCTAGCTTTGGGCTCCTGGGGCAGTATCAGCCTCTGAACCTGTTCGCTTTTCTGCAGAATGAGAGTAGTGGTAGCGTCCACCTTGTAGAATCAGTCCTGTCTTCTAAACGTCAGCACGGTGAGTGTGGAGGTTTTTGTCTGTTTCCTTTACTACTGTCGTCCCAGTACCTAGAGCGGTGCCTCCTGCAGAGTGAGCCGGCATCCCCCTTTGTGGGTGGCAGTTGAGATGATTCGATGGACTAACGCACGTGAAGTACGTGGTGCATGCAGTGACGACTCAGGAAATGATAGCTGCTACTGTCATCCGCCTAAATATTTTTATTTTGCTTTTTCCTTCTAGTCTTTTTATTTTTTTAAAGATTTGTTTATTTATTTGAAAGTCAGAGTTACACAGAGGGAAGGAGAGACAGAGAGAGAGAGGGAGAGAGAGAGGTCTTCCATCCGCTGGTTCACTCCCCAGTTGGCCGCAACGGCTGGCGCTGCACCCATTAGAAGCCAGGAGCCAGGAGCTTCTTCTGGGTCTCCCATGCGGGTGCCGGGCCCCAAGGACTTGGGCCATCTTCCCCTGCTCTCCCAAGCCATAGCAGAGAGCTGGATTGGAAGTGGAGCAGCCAGGTCTCAAACTGTCGCCCATATGGGATGCCAGCATTAACCTGCTGTGCCACAGCGCTGGCCTTACCTTCTAGTCTTTTTAAAAATCAGCTTTGTTAGGTGTTATTTGCATGCAGTGGTTCTCAGCACTCAGTCTGCAGCGCTCCGACTGTGCTCAGTTGTGTAATCTGTAACTGGTTGCCCCTGCAGTCGTGATACAGAAACGTTACTACTGCTGTCCTACAACCCTGTATTTTTTTTTTTTCAGAGATTTTATTTATTTATTTGACAGGTAGAGTTACAGAGAGAGAAACAGAGAAAGTTCTCCCATCCTCTGGTTCACTCCCCAGATGGCCAGAACAGCTAGAGCTGAGTTGATCCCAAGCCAAGAGCCAGGAGCTTCCTCTGGGTCTTCCACACAGGTGCAGGGGCCCAAGGACTGGGCCATCTTCTACTGCTTTCCCAGGCCACAGCAGAGAGCTGTATCAGAAGTGGAACAGCCGGGACTTGAACTGGCACCCATATGGGATTGTGGCGCCACAGGTGGAAGCTTAGCCCACTACACCACAGCAACGGCCCTCCAACCCCGTATTGCCAGGGTTCCCTTGTGGTCATGACTCACAACTGTTGGACTTTGTTTCATTTTTAAAAATTGTTTTCATTTCTTCTTTTCCACAAGATTTGTTTATTTATTTGAAAGAGTTAGAGAGAGGGAGAGACTCTCCATCTGCTGGTTTTCTCTTCAAAGAGCTGCCTTGGCCAACTGTGGCTAGGTCAGGCTGAAACCAAGAGGCAGGAGCCTCCTCCAGGTCTCCCACATGGGTAGCAGGATCCTAAGCACTTGGGTCATCTTCCACTGCTTTCCCAGGCACATGAACAATGAGCTGGATCAGAAGTGAAGCAGCCAGGGTGTGAATAGGCACCCATATGGGGTGCCAGCATTGCAGGCAGCTGCTTTATCTGCTATACCACAACTTCAGTCCTGTATTTTCATTTTTTAAAAAGATTTATTTTATTTATTAAAAAGGCAGAGTTACAGAGAAAGAAGGAGGGAAAAGTAGAGAAATCTTCCATCCGCTTGTTCTCTCTCCAAATGGCCACAAAGACTGGGGCTGGGCCAGGCCAAAGCCAGAAGCCTGGAGGTTCATCTGAGTTTCCCACATGGGTGCAGGGGCCCAAGGGCTTGGATTTTCTTCTGCTGCTTTTCCTGGCACATTAGCAGAGAGTTGGATTGGAAGTGGAACTGCTGAGACATGAGGCTTAACCCATTACGCCACAATGCCAGCCCCTATTTATTTTAATTTTTATTGAATGGCAGAGAGACAGGGAGATATCCTTAGTCCACTGGTTCACTCCCCAAATGCCCACAACAGCCAGAGCTGGGCATGCTGAAGCCATGAACTAGGAACTCAGTCCCAGTCTCCCACATGAGTGGCAGGTGTCCAAGTACTTGAGGCATCACTCACCTCCCCCACAGGGTGCACATGAGCAGGAAGCTGGAGTTGGAACTGGGACTGCAACCCAAGCATCTCTTCAGTGCTGCGCTAGACTCCCACCTCTGATCTTTATTTTTATCACTACCTTTCCAGAATTTCATATAAATGAAATCGTGTAGCAGTTTTTTATGTCTGCCTTCTTAACACTTGGCATAATGCTTTTGGGATTCATCTACATTATCGTTTATAATTGTAGTTTATTCTTTTTTTATTGCTGAAGAGCATTGCATTGTCTGATTGTACCACCACTTGTTTATATCTGTTCCCCAGTTGATGGCTGCTTGGCTTCTTTCCAGCTTTTGGCTAATCTGAAGACAACTGTTAGGAACATTTGAGTTAGGTCTGTTCAGACACGTGTTTCCATTTCTCTGAGTGGATGACCAGGAGTGGACTTGCTGGGTCTTAGGGCAAGTATGTATTTTTAAAGTTGCCAGATTTTTTTCCAAAGTGGCTGTACCATATTGCATCCTGCTAGCATTTATTCCATATCCTCACCAATATTTGGTATTGTCATTCTTTCTCTTTTAAACCACTTTATTGGGGTATTGCTAACATAACAGTGGGCTGCACATATCTAGACTGTGCAGTGTGACGAGTTGTGAAACACACGTGTACTCTTGAAAGCAGCACCACTGATTGCCATTTGGAGGGTGTTTGGAGGCACATAGCCTGTGGCATTAATTTGCCTTTCTCTGATGCTGATGATTTTGAGTAGTTTTACATAATTAATTTGTTATTCATAAAACTTCTGGGCATACCACTGTGGCTCAGCAGGTTAAACCACAGCCTGCAGTGCCGTGTCCCATACGGGCCCTGTTTCAAGTCCTGGCTGCTCCACTTCCCATCCAGCTCCCTGCTAATGCCTCTAGGAAGGCAGCAGAGGACAGCCTAAGTGCTTAGGCTCCTGTACCCATGTGGGAGATGTGGAATTAGCTCCTGGCTTTGGCTTGGTTCAGCCTTGGTCATTGTGGCCATTTGGGGAATGAACCAGCGGGTGGAAGATGTCTTTCTGTGTCTCCTTTTCTCTCTCTATAACTCTGCTTTTCAAATAAATAAATAAATCTTAAAAAAAATTTATGACGTGTCAAATTTCCCACATTTTATTATTTTATCAGTTGCCTGTCTTCTTCTCTAGTTATAAGAATTCTCTATATATTCTAGAAATAGTGTTTTACCTGGTATGTGTTTTGGAGATGTTTTATTCCGTCTATGGCTTGTTTATTTTCCTAACAGTTTCTTGAGGGGGTTTTAATTTGAATAATAGATTGAGTGGGAGCATTTTTCATCCAGACAGCATATGTGGGAGCAAAATCAAGTTGGAGGGGTAAGAGTATGAGTTTATTTTTGGTTCTATTAAGTGTGAGGTGCTTGAATGAACCATCTGTAAGCAAAGAAGTAAACAATACAGATTTGTTGCTGAGAAGAGAGATTAGGACTTGGGGTCCAGATTTAGAGGTGACCTAAGTCGTGAAAATGAGTGGAATAGCCTCGGAGAGCATGTTGAATGCAATGCCAGGAATGGAATGTTACAGTGCTACGGTGCCGAAACAGGCCGCTGTGCTTTCTCTTTGAGGTGTTGGGTTTTTCTCCGAGAGAGATCTCTGTACTCTCTGGTGAGACACTGCGATATTCTAGAGATGGTTCTGTGGAAAACTGAGCAGACATTTTCTAATTGCTGCTGAGACACGGGAGAACCTCTGTGATGGCGTTTGCCTCAGCAGCATCTGCATCGGATGCAGTGGTTTTGGGGATGGTTTCTGGTAGCACGTGTCGGTGAAAGCTGAGGGCGCCGTGCCAGCACTCAGTGCTGGGACAGCACATCCTGCAGCCACCAAGATAGCGCGGTCAAGGTATGCAGCGTTTTCATGGTAATATTCTGTTCAGGAATGGAACCTGGAAGAGTCGAGCATAGACTTTGCAAGGGCATTGAAGAGAGCCCAGGGATCCCCTGGGACTCATTCAAGGGCTCTCTGGAGGGTGGGGAGCCTGGAGTGGCCAGAGAAAGATAAGCAGGCTGGCCTGTAGGCCCTGCTTCTACTTTGTGCATGAATGTGTATATTCTTAATGTGGAGAATTTCAAGTGCAGACGCACTTAGAATACTCCCGTGAACCTGAGTTGGTCATCACCGGGCTTCCTGTTTTATCTTCGCACCCCTGCTGCACCCGAAGCCCGTTGCATTTAGCATCTAATTCACCTTAAATATTTCAGCATGAATTGTTGAAAGCTAAGGACTCTTTTAGAATACATAACCACAGTACTGTTAACAGTGACTTTAAAAGGAACAATATTGCTTAAGTGTCATCAGACATCTCCTCAATATTCAGATTTCCACAGGTAAGCTTAGACTTGGAATCAGCCATTCTTCTAAGGGGAAGTGTTCTTTCTAACATCACTCTTCTGTCCTTTTTATACTTCAAATATTTTATTTTTTTTATTTTATTTAAGAGGGGGAGAGAGACAGAGAGAAAGACAAAGAGATATCTTCCATCTGCCGCTTTACTCCCCAGATACCCACTGCAGGTGGTGCTGGGCCAGGCTGAAGCCATGAGCGGGGAGCTCAAGCCATCAGGTCTCCTTCGTGAGTAGGGACTCAGCTACCAAGGCACCGTCTGCTGCCTTCCCAGGGTACACATCAGCAGGTAGCTGAACCAGAAATTGAGGAGCTGGGATAGGAAGCAGGCACTCCAGTATGGGATGCAGTGTCTGAACTTCCGCGCCAAATACCTGCCCCCGTCTTATATCCTGAAATTCCATTTTGGTAGAAGTTTGCTTGAAAGGATTATGTGACCTAAAAATATTTTTTTAAAGATTTGTTTAGTTATTTGAAAGAGTTAGAGAGAGGGAGAGAGAGAAAGAGATAGTGAAAAAATGCAGACCACTCCACGAATGTGCCTGTCCTCCTTGCCCCGGGGGCATGCTGGCCTGCTCTGCATCATTCCAGTTTGTGTAGGTGCTGCCCAAGAGAGCACCGAAAGAAAAAAAAAATTTTTGACAGGCAGAGTGGACAGTGAGAGAGAGAGAGACAGAGAGAAAGGTCTTCCTTTTCCATTGGTTCACCCTCCAATGGCCGCTGCGGCCAGTGCGCTGCAGCCTGCGCACTGCGTTGATCCGAAGCCAGGAGCCAGGTGCTTCTCCTGGTCTCCCATGCGGGTGTAGGGCCCAAGAACTTGGGCCATCCTCCACTGCCTTCCTGGGCCACAGCAGAGAGCTGGATTGGAAGAGGAGCAACCGGGACAGAATCCGGCACCCCGACCGGGACTAGAACCCGGGGTGCTGGCGCCGCAGGCGGAGGATTAGCCTAGTGAGCTGCGGCACCGGCCAAGATAATTTTGAAAGCAACAAATCTGGAAGTAGATTATAAACTGTGTCCCTCAATAATTTTCCATAAATGTAATTTCTCTTCTTTAGCCTTTTTTTTTTTTTAAGATTTATTTTATTTATTGGAAAGAGCTACAGAGAGAGGTAGAGACACAGAGAGAGGTCTTCCATCTGCTGATTCACCCCCCAGATGGCCACAATGGCCAGAGCCATGCCATTTGAAGCCAGGAGCCAGGAGCGTCCTCCAGGTCTCCCACATGGGTGCAGGGGTCCAAGCACTTATGCCATCTTCTACTGCTTTCCCAGGCCATAGCAGAGAGCTGGATCGGAAGAGGAGCAGCCGGGACTCAAACTAGCGCCCATATGGGATGCCAGCCCCTCAGGCCAGGGATTTAAACCGCTGTGCCATAGTGCCGGCTCCTTCTTTAGCCTTTTGATAAAAGTTGAGTAGCACACAGTTGGGATAAGATCCTGACATACAGGTAATCTATAAAACCAATTATGACTGAGTCTATTGAGAAATCAAGTGAACTGGTGGGGCGGTGGCCTGGCTCACTAGGCTAATCCTCCACCTGCGGCGCTGGCACACCAGGTTCTAGTCCCGGTTGGGGTGCCGGATTCTGTCCCGGTTGCTCCTCTTCCAGTCCAGCTCTCTGCTGTGGTCTGGGAGGGCAGTGGAGGATGGCCCAAGCGCTTGGGCCCCTGCGCCCACATGGGAAACCAGTAAGAAGCACCTGGCTCCTGGCTTCGGATGGGTGCAGCGCCAGCCATGGCGGCCATTTGGGGGGTGAACCAATGGAAAAGGAAGACCTTTCTCTCTGTCTCTCTCTCTCTCACTGTCTAACTCTGCCTGTCAAAAAAAGACAGTTTTCTTCCATGACAGGGAAGGAAGCTATTAAAAAAAAAAGTGAACAGGTGGTAGAATTGATTTTTTTCTTTGTTATAGAAATTGTGTATTCCTAACCCAAACATATGGCTTTCCTACAAGACATGGACTTTTCATTCTTTCTTTTTTTTTTTTTTTTTTAAGATTTGTTTGTTTATTTGAAAGGCAGAGTTGTAGAGAGAGAGGAGAGACAGAGAGATTCTCCATCTGCTAGTTTACTCCCCAAATAAATGCAACAGCTGGCTAGGGCAGAGCCAGGCCATAACCAGAAGGCAGGAGCCTTTGCCAGGTCCCCCATGTGGGTAGCAGGTCCCAAGCACTTGGGTCATCCTCTGCTGCTCTCCCAGGTGCAGTAGCAGGGAGCTGCATTGGAAGTGGAGCAGCCTATGTAGGATGCTGGCATTTCAGGTGGTGGCTTAACCTCGAAGCTGGTCCCGGAATTCACATTTTCACAAAACAAACACAAACCTCCCCTGAGGCCAGGAAGCAAATAGGACTCTTGGCTGGGGATCGGGGAATTCAGTGAAAATCAAGCACCCATTGATGTTTTAATAATTGATCCAGCTGGGTTTTCTCTTCAGTATTTCTTTAGTCCCTGTGGTGGTTTTAAAGATGAGTATACAAATTCTTTGATTCTCCTTTGTTTAAAAGATGGACTTTAATTCTCCTTGCCTTGAGTGTGGGCAGGACTTACTGACTCCTGGTGAACAGAATAAGGCAGAAGTGATGAGGTGTCATTTCCCAGGCTTGGGTTATACAGAGACTGTGGCTTCTGCCTTGGTCTCCCTGCCTCCCTCTCCTTCGCTGTCTCTCTTTCCCTTTCTCATCACTTGCTCTGGGGAGGCAGCCCTGGATAGAGGCGAACGAGCAGCCTAGTGGAGGGCCATGTGGTGAGGAAGCAAGACCTGCCAGCGACCACGAGTGCGCTGGATGCTGATCCGACGCTGGCAGCCTCAGGAGTGGCCCACATGAGTGACTTTGGAAGGGGTCCTCTTAATCTAGCTGAGCCTTGGGATGACTGCGGCGGCAGCCAACAGCTTGACTCATTGTCCTGGCTGCACAAAGGCTCAGTTATGTGAGCCCGTGATTTTCCTTGGAGAGTCTTCTGTCTCTCAGCACTGGCTCCGTTGTACACAAGGGGCTCAACGTCTGGCTGAGTTTCTCTCGTTCTGGATAGGTCTCTGATGGATTGTGTGTGTATGTGTGTGTGTGTGTGTGTGTGAGAGAGAGAGAGAGAGAGAGAGCGCGCGTGCACGAGAGAGAGCATGTGTGTGTGAGAGAGCGAGAGAGGGCGCGCGTGTGTGTGTGTGAGAGCGCGTGTGTGAGAGAGAGTGTGTGTGTGTGTGAGAGAGCGAGAGAGAGCATGTGTGTGTATGTGTGTGAGAGCGTGCATGTGTGTGTGAGAGCGAGAGAGCGTGTGTGTGAGAGCGAGAGAGCATGTGTGTGAGAGCACATGTGTGTGTGAGAGAGCGAGAGAGGGCACGCGTGTGTGTGTGTGAGAGCGCGTGTGTGAGAGAGCGTGTGTGTGTGAGAGAGCGTGTGTGTGTGAGAGAGCGAGAGAGAGTGTGTGTATGTATGTGTGTATGTGTGAGAGTGAGAGAGAGCGTGTGTGTGTGAGAGAGAGCGAGAGAGAGCATGTGTGTGTATGTGTGTGAGCGCGTGCATGTGTGTGTGTGAGAGCGAGAGAGCGTGTGTGTGAGAGCGCGTGTGTGAGAGAGCGTGTGTGTGTGTGTGAGAGAGAGAGCGTTCGTGTGTGTGTGTGTGGTGGAAGCAGCTGTCTTATGACAGAAGGTGTGGAAAGGCAGTTCACTCTAGACAGTGAAGTCCTCATTTCCGAGTCATTGCACTGTTTTCTGTCCATCCTCACAGACTGGGAATTAGTCAGTCTCCTACTTGTGTTTGCCCTTGTTAAAGGAATTGCTGGAAGTTGGTGGCACAGTGGAGTCAGATTTCAACTCCTTGTTTGAAGTTGAGGAAGAGTGGGACAATCAGAGCCAAGTACAGTGATGGCCCATTGTATGTGTCCACTTGACTGGGCCGCTGGATGCCTGGACCTTTGTCCAAACATTATTCTGAGCGTGCGTGAGAGGGTTTCTGGATGAGAGGAACATTTGAATCAGTAGACCGAGGAAAGCGGATTCTCCACTGCCATCCAGTCGTCTAAGACCCGCCTAGAACAAACAGCCGAGAAGGGGAGCTCCTTCTGACTCCTCGCACTGAGCTTCAGTCTTCACGGGCCCGGTACTGGGAACGAGGTCTGGGCTGCTGAGCCTGCTGGCTCCTGGGCTGGAACTGACACCATTGTCGTTCCTGGTTCTCAGGCCTTCGGGTTTGAACCAGAACCGCGTCTGTGGCTCTCTTGGGTCTCCAGTTGGCTCACTGCTGATCTTGCGAGTTCTCAGTCTCCATCACGATGTGAGCAGGTTCCTTATAATCAATCTCTTTATATATATATATATGAAAATTTTGGAAACCAGTGAGTGGAATGATGGCTGGAGACATTTCTAGCTCTAGGATATGAGCAGAGGTGCAGCGTAAGGGTGACATCCTGTCAGACCGAGTCTGGTGAGAGGATGGTGCAGTGTGCTTGTGAAATCCCGTGGCTGTGGCCGGGGCAGGTTTCTAGGCACTCTGCATGCCCTCGGGGTTTGGTTCGTTTCTTTTCCAACATTTATTATGTAACCTGTTGTTCTCTACCTGTCCATCCTCCTGTGAAACAGGATTCAGGCAGCTTGGCTTTCCTGGCCGTTAACTTGACACTGTTTGCATCTTTGAGGATTTTTTTTTACTGCAAGTAACAACAGAAATGAGTTGAGTGAATTTTAAAAATGCATATTAGAATTTTACTAAAAATAAGCAGTTTTCCTGCCCTTCCTTGCGAGGTAGATGAGATGGCTCAGTTTTCTGTAGCTCTGAGAGTAAAGGCAGTAGACTAAGGAATGTCAGAAGTCTCTTCCAGCTCCATGTATTTGATTTTTAGTGAGAGATTACTTATTTTCCTTATTCTATTGCTCTTTTAATTGGGGAACTATGTAACTTTTCTTCTATTCTTTGATATCATCTGATTCTGAAAATAATTATTTGTAGGCCATTGAATTCATTTCATCAAGGAGAGGGAAACTCCAGGTTATTGTCTTTAATCTCTCTACCATTTGCTTTTTAAAATTTTTATTTATTTATTTTAAAGATTTATTTGAAAGTCAGAGTGACAGAGAGAGGGAGAAACAGAAAAAAGAAAAAGATCTTCCATGGGCTGGTTCACTCCCTACATGGTTACGTGTCTGCAATAGCTAAACCATCTTTCACTCTACAGTGTGGCCTGGGCACTCCTCCCACATGCAGGTGCAGCCCCTGTGCCTGTCACTAAAGCAGGCCAGGCCTTTGCAGTTGTCTCCAATAGAGCACTGCTCCCAGGATGCCATGTGACTGCCGGGGCTAGGGCATACAGAATGCCCTGCGTGTCTTCCTTTCTCTCTTAGGACGCTCATTTTTGGAATTTAGCTATCATGTTGCCCTATAAGGAGCCCCGGCAACATGGGAGGCCTGTGAAAGAGAGACACTGAAGCTCCTGGCCCTCAGCCCCAACTAGGCTCCCAGCGAACATCCTGCTCAGCCTGTCAGCCACATGCACCAGCTGTCCCAAAAGCTGATCCTGACCCACCCAGATCCTACCCGAATGACCCAGTAGATGCCTACGAGAGGAGAGCCAAGCCACCCCAACTGCAGATTCATGAGCATGCTGAAGATTCTTGCTGTTATGTAG